GTGCCCTGCGGTGGCTTGTGGGTAGGTTACTGTACCGCGGGTTTTTACCGCACATTTTGAATGGCTGCATCTGTATGCTGTAAGGTTTTTACTTCTTAATTAAACGTTTAAAATACACGAATTTCATAAAGACAACACACGTTTCGAAGAGAAAAAATCCCATTCTTTTCTCTTCCTGTTGTGTGAAACGGATCAGCAGGTCTTTTTTCCCCCAATCAGAGGCTCTGAAAAGAAGCATCTCTTTTTACTTCTAAGTCCTTTACTTTTCAATACACAAACAGCTTTTTCAACAAATTAGACGTATCATTTTATAACTGTTAAAACAACATCTTATTGTACTTCCTAATTATATTACGTGGAAAATAATGTTTTTAATAATCTTTAATGATTTATACATTTTGGAAAGGTTTCATCTGTACAAAACAGTGTTAGTATAAATTATAAATATAATAATTTTCATACATAATATAAGATACGAATGACAAATATAGTAATATTAAAATTGCGTTAAATAGATTGTTGCACTTTTTTCCATGTCTTTTAAAACTTAATCATTTACAAGACTTTGGCCAAATGTGCATTTTATCTGACAAAATAAAAATATCAAAAAATGAAAGTAAACAAAAAAGTAAATTATGAAATAAAATGTGGCACTAGTAAAAAAAATCTAACTAAAGTTCTAAAATAATGAAAAATAAAATGTAAAATATACTGAAAAATGCTCCTTTTTCCATCGGCACTGAGATGAAGCCCATCAGCAGCAAACGCCTGAGCAATGGGCTGCTTATTCTTCAGAAGCACTCTGTTGCTCCTGAGGAACTGCACATGGTCCATCTGAGAAGGGAGCTATGAAAGAGCCCGGTTAGCTTCTTTCACAGCTCCAGCCGTAAATGAGTCATCACAGAGCCGTGGCAAAATTGAGCAAATTGCTAAATGAACCTTACAAGGTGACGCTCTCCTTACTGTCACAATTAGTTCTTTCATAGCTCTAAGGATGTCATGGGGGTGTCACCCTGAGCTATGTTATTTGTCCCTATGTTAATGATTAGTAATATATCCTCTTTCAGGGCCTGGAGGTGGTACAGGTGCTGGTGGGCACTGCGCTCCAGTGTTGTGCCAGGGTGCAGCCACACCTGCTCTGCTGGCATCAGTTTTCCCAGGCCCCACAATATAGAGTTGCCGAGGACATACACTTTCTTTGGACCTGATGGGAAAAAAGGCATTATCACAGCTACATCATAAAATACATCTTAAAAGTATTTAAACTATAACTGAACAGCAAACATATTCAATGAATAACAACGTAAATTTTAAAAATTATAACTAACGAGTAACTATATACAGTGCTGGAAACCAGCTATCAGAAGGCACGGGGAAGTTACATCAGCAGTTATGTATAGAGGATTAATTTCATATTGCTTTTTAACCTCCCTGGCACATCAGCATCCATAATCTGCATGTTTTCAAATTAATTTACTTCCTAGGTATCTACAAATACAAATATCTTAAGATGCTGGCTCCAGGGATCAGCTTTTCACCAGCCTCCCTGACGCATCAGCACCAGCTTCAAGATGTTTTCCTACTCGTCTTCCTCAAAATTATCTGCATCTGACGCACACCGTAACATTAGCAACAGCCCGGAGCTTAAAAAAACTAAGCAACAATCCTCACCTCATTATTCATGTAATCATCTAACAATGGATACTCAATTGTGCCACTAACTTCATCATCGCCCTCCTCTACATAATCCACAACAAACAAGTCTCCTGTTCTATTTACACGGACTACCCTGCCTGGCCACCAACATTCACTCCCATCTTCACTACTCACAAACATGTGCTCTACTTTCTTGCCTACGAAGTCCTC